CGGTCGTCGGCGCGAAGTCGCGATGGCGCAGGCGGCTCCGCAACGCCCCCGCTAAGAAAGCGAGCGATTGGCCCGGCGGGGGCCGAGCAGGGCGCGCCCGCGCTGCGCCGTCTCAGCAAGAGCGGCATTGTCCGCGCAAGGCCGCGAAGGCGCGCGAGACAGGGAACCGCCGCCATCAGGAAATATGTCAATCGAACGGCCCCTGCTAGAGGGCCAAGCTACCCATGACTGATGGTCCCAGTGCGTTTTTCCAGAAAGCATAGTTTGTGGATTTGGCTGGCGAAGGATGGAATTTGGGAGTCTTGGTCGCCGACGACGTTGGCGGCGCTGGCGAGACGCACTGCTAGGCACCTAGAAGATCCAGCCGCGCGCTCCGCGAACTCGAACTGCACTGCTCGGCTAGAAGACGCAAGCTCTCAACGCGGCCGTCTCTGTTGTTTATGCAATGAACAGCGGCAGTGTCGCCATGCGCGGCGCGGCGCGCCGACCTCGGAGCCAGTCGCTATCTCGGCGAAGGCGCTGCGCGGCCGCCTCGAGTTTCTCCGGGTTGATGCGGCCGACGCTCGAATCTGAAGTCGAGGAGTTGTCTGGCCGGGCGCCTGGCGCCGCGCGCCGCAGCCGCGCGGGAGGATCGACCCCCCATTGCGAAGCGCTTGTTTCTGCCACCCGGAGGCGCCCGCTCGCAGCGAGCGCCCGCCGATTCAGGGAGTCTGGGGGCCTGGGCCCCAATGGCGCAAGATGGCCCGCAGCGGAAAGCCGCGGCCGTTCGGGATTGCATCTGAAGCGCGGACCCACCATGGTAGCTGTGAGAGACCCTCAGGCGGGAGTGGTTAAACCATAGGGTCCGCGCGCGGCTGTCGGTCCCGAATCGCGTAGATGTTCGCGCGGTCGAGCGCTGCTCGCTCTCGGCGCAGCCGCCGCGGCCTTGCGAGAGAACCTCGTTGATCCGACAGGCGAGGCCCGCAGCTGTCTCGAGCTCCCGCGCCCCCTGCGCGCCGGAGGCGTCTCGCGACAAGGTGGTGCGGATCAAGTTTGGGCGCTTGTCGCACTTGCTGCTTCCACGCGCAGGATGTTCCGCTGCGCATCGAAAACCCAACCAACCCACGAACGACGTTGACGTGGAGGTTTTAGCCCAGAGGTTTGTAAAGACTTGAATTTTGCTGTTCAGGAAGATGCGCATGAGGATTGCGGAACCTGCCGCGCTTCGTCCTTCGCGGGTTCTGAGCCGAGTGGGTCATCGGCATGATCTGTCAACGCAGTCGATTGGGTGAGGCGCGACAATCATGTCAATGATGCGCCGTGAATGAACTGCTCCAAGAAAATTGCTACGTCTCCCGCCAGGCGTTCAAAAACGCAGCCAATCAGCGCTTGCGGGGTCGATGCGCATGCGCCAATTTGATCGCGCGAACCAGCTAAGTCGAACGCGACTAACCGCCCCCTGGGAGCCATCCGGTAGGTGGCTAGCTCAACGGCGTCGTGCTTGACGAGTTGTTCGGGCGCGGAATTATTGGCGCCACTTCTCTGATGCATCAATGATTATACGCGTTTTCATGCGTTCCCCTTCTGGCCAGTGCATGGGGGCGCCGCCCCGCGCTTCTAGATGCAGCGCGCGCGGATTGACGTGCAAAGTTGGTGGCCGGGTGCCAGCTGGGGGAGAGCGCGCGCGTTGCCGAGCGCCTCAGGTCGCGACCAATCGCGCTCTGCCCAGCGCAAACGCGCTGCAAGAACGGACGGGCAGTGAGAGAGCACGGGGGGAGGGGGCCTGCGACCTCGAGCGGGCATCCTTGCTCCCACGCATGCGACGGCCCCCTTGTCCCGCAGCCAATCACTGTTCAGGCGGAGTCCACGGGCGCCCCCGCGCCATGCTGCCCGAACGGCGGCGTCGAAGATTTCTGCCCGGAGAGCTACCTGGCGACTGTCCGATTGAATCGCATCGGGCGCTATCCTGTTGGGTAAGACTGCCTCGGCCCAGCGCTCGGGCCGACTTGGCAACGGCGCGCTGCCCGCTGGCGGGCGCGCAAATCGAAGGGCAGATGGCGCCGCCCAGTTGGTAGAAAGCTCGGGCCCCGACGGCGGACAGGGCGGCCGCGCGCTGGGATGGGCGGGCGCGCCCCCCAACGACCGTGGAAACAGAGGGCGGACCAAGGAACGAGCCAGAGCTTGCAGACCACTGCTGCTGGTTCAGTGGAGCTGGACGAGCTCCGCCGTGAATCGGCTGCCTGCGTTGATGATATTGAGGTACCACTTCGTGAACGTGCTACTCACCTGTCCGATCGCGATGTTCTCGTGGCCCAGATGGCCACCGCAGATCGCGGCGCTGGACGAGGCGATGGTGCCGCCGACAAGCAGACCTCGAAGCCTGTCCAAATCTCAACCGCGTCTCAGTTCGATCGCGAGACGGATGGCGCCAATGCTAATTAGTTGCTCGTGCTGCAGTCAGATCTAAGATCGGGGAGGGGATGGGCGAGCTCGCGGCGGCCGCCGATCAGTTCGAGCCAACCTGCGCGGGCCCGTTGACCATGCAGTTCGTGCTCGAGCTTCTGGGGGCGCCTGGCCCGGCTGCTCGTCGGGCTGGCGAAGCCCCTGGCAGCCTGCGCATTGCTCCAAGGGAATGGCGTCGCTTTCAAGTACCTGCTCATGCTGGCGGTGGCGATCTGCGCTGCCTGGCCGCGACCAGACTGATGCGCCGTGGAATCTTGTTACTATTCGGACGTCGGCCTGGACAAGGACAGCTTCGCGGACGTCGCCCGCTCCATCTTCGAGCCTGACGCCGAAACCGAGTGGCATAGCAATTTCGCGGCGTCGGCCCCGCGCTCGCCGCCGCAGTTCCGGCGCGATGAAAAAGTGCAGAACGGGCCCGGGGCAGCGACCTGGAACGCGAGGGCGCCTCTGAAGCGCGAGGGGCTCGCGCCGTGAAGAAGCCAAGATCTTTGCAGAGGTTTCGCCTCGGATCCATTGTGGCTGCGTTTCAGGCGGCGCGCCAAAATGGGCCCCAAGTAGCTCACCTTCTCAGGAAGAACCCGCCTGAGGCGTGCGTCTGTTCCAGTCTCTGCGGCGAGGGCCGCGCCCGAGGGGGCGCTGCCGCGGTCGTTTCTGGGGCCCGCCAAGAAGCCCTTTGCCCCCCGCTCGATCCGATGACTGGCCGCGTCGGGCTCGCAGCTGCTCTCGCAAGTGAATTCTAAGCTACTTCGTTGGAACATGCATAATCATGACGTGTCCTCGGGGCATTTTCGGGCGCGCGCGTGCTGATTTCCCGGGATCGAGTCGATTCGGCGGCTAACCCTGTGGGCTGTTTTGTCGTTGCCACTGGCGGTGCGAATTTCTCGCGGAAAGAAGAACTCAGCTTCTCGCAGCCCTTCGAGGCCAACTGGGACCTACGCCCGACGCGCGCCTGCGCCCCGGGAAAGACGCCGACACCCAGCAGTTTTATCGAGATTTCGCCTGCCGCCGGGCCCGCGAACATCCAGAAATATGGCAGCCGCAGGATCAGACGCAAGAGGCAGCTCAGCGCGAGTGACATCTCGCCGCTAGTCCGGACGCGCAAGAGACCGAGCAATAAGAGGAAAAGTGCGAGGCTCATGGCCCATGGCGGTGTCTGGTGGCCGAGAAATTCCGGGCGACCTTCGAAGCCACTTGCATCAGGTACTCGTTGCGCCCCGACCGTATCGGTGGCGACATAGTCGACACATGGGGGCCCTCTATCTCAAGGTGCAGGCCGAGGACAGGCCGGCGGGCCGCCGATTTCACGACGTGCTCTGGGGTTGGCAAGCCCGAGGCGCCAGGCGCCGTGGGTTGCTGGGAGGTCGCCTAAAGCACGGCGTGCTCGCTGATCTAGCATCTGGGGAGTCCCTCGGGACCCCCGGCCGCGCGAGCAGGAGAGCTACAGCCGCGCAGTCACCCGGCCGGGTCACGGGCACCAGAAACGATCGCTGGCCGCAACAACATCAGCCTGCTCAAAGTGGCGTCATGTCAGCGCTGGGCCAATGGCGTTCATCTTCGGCTTCCACGACTGCCCACCTCCATCGTTGGCGACGTTGCAGCAGGTGGCGACGAGAGCTTCTGATCCTGATCCTGAGCGCGATCGGCTGTTCTCTGCGGCGTGGCAGGAGCGTCCATCTGGTCTGATCTTATTGCGCGCTGTGTTGCTGGGGGTTTTGCATGGCCAATAGTTCGCGGCGGAGGGCCTCGCGCTGCGAGCGCCCCTGTCCAAGGGAGACTGCGACCACGGCGATCGTGATGGCGGGCGCGCCCGCAGTGCCAACTCTGCGCGCGTCTTGGCGTTGCGCAGCACCAGTGTTAAGTTGTCGCTGGAGGTTGTGAGTTTAGCGATCCGGAAGCCTCTTGAGCGTTTCGTTCCTGCTGGTCAGCGAGTTTTTGCGCAGGCCAGACTCGTCGCGCCAATATTGGAAGTTGGCGGTGTTGCTCGCATACGCTTGGCCCGTCCTGAGGTTGACTTCCTTAGCTCCTGCTCTTCTGGATCAGCATGCCAGCTGGATCAGCGTGCCAGTTTTGACTTGCAAGTGCCCGGGGTCGTCCGCGCCTGCAATGACGACCATGGCGGGGCTCTGAAGTGCAGGCGGCCTCTGATTCAACCATGCTGCGCGATGAGTATCGCCGAGAAGACCGCGCATCTCGAATTCAAGTGTACGAAGTGCGTGCGCGCGTTTCTTGTTGCTTGCGAATTCTCGGAGGTCCTGGAAGCGGACGTCCAGAAGCTGTTGGAGATGCGTGCGCCGCAATGGAGTTGTTGTTCGAATTGGGCCGAAGCTGCGGCATCCAGGTACGCGGGCTTGTCATGGGGCGGCAGTCTTGGACTCGTGGGCCGCTCCGGCACGGAAGTTTCGTGAGCGTCGTGCTGCTGCGGGCCGCGGGTCGACTCCTGCTTCGTCGTCGGCGGCGATGCTTGCGACCCGCGGCGCTTCGACACTGGGATGCGCGGCGCAGTTCGCGCCGCCCCCGAAATGGCATCGCCGCGTTGAGCTCCGATCTCCGGCGCCAGCATGCCGCGCGCCCCGCCGGGCAGGTTGCTGGCCGGAGGAGCGGCGCGCGCCGCGCCTCTGGAAAGTGACGCGCGCGGCGGCCCTCGCCGCGTCCGCCGCCCGCGCCCCGCCCGGGCCCCGCCGCGCGCGTGCCCGGCGGATGAGGAGAAACGACCGCTTGGGCGCCGCGTAATGGGGGGGTCATAAATGGGGGGGTGGCGAGCGTGGTCCGAAAAGGTACCCAAACGGTACCTAAACGAGCCCCCTGGGGCTCTGGAGGGGCCCGAAAGGGGCACGAAAGGGGATCTTTTCTGACCCCCCCATGTGTGACCCCCCATTAAGCCACGCCCAAACCGCGAAGCGTGCGCAGGGGAGCTTTGCGCTTTACGCTGCCACCTCGACGCGCGATGTCGCCTGGCCGCTGGAGCCCGCCGTCGCTCGTGGAGGAACCTGGCTGCCGCGGCGAGCGGACGCGGAACTGAGTTGGGCTCTGTTCAGGAGGGAGAGAAACACACAGACACAATGAATCCTCCATTCCCCCGAAAATATGGGAAAAGATGGGAAGTGGGGGGGGAGACAGAAGCCCAGAAAATATGGGAAATATGGGGAACCTTTATATTTGTGTGTATTTGTTTGTGTGTCCTGGGGCCCCTTCATGTACACTGCCACCTCGACGCGCTATGTCGCCTGACCTCTGGAGCCCGCTGTCGCTCGTGGATGAACCTGGCTGCCGCGGCGAGCGGATGCGGAACTGAGTTGAGCTCTGTCCAGGAGGGAAACAAACACACAGACACAATTAATCGTCGATTCCCCAGAAAATATGGGAAAACATGGGAAGTGGGGGGGGGAAGACAGGAACCCAGAACATGTGGGGAAGTATGGGGAATCTTTTTATTTGTGTGTATTTATTTGCGTGTCCTGGGGCCCCTTCATCTGTGGCGCTTGAGCCTCGCAGTTTCCGTTTCCCCCTCGCGGAAACGCCCTCAAGCCTTAGCGCGCTGCGAAGTTGGCGTGCCTGCGTTTCTGGAGCTCTCGGCCTCCTCTGGACCTCCCGAGCGTAGGCGGTGCAAACTCAGCGAAAACAAGGTGTTCTCTCGCTCGATTGGGATGAAGTTGTTCGCGGGCTCTGAAGGGTCCCGCCCTCTTGGGTTCGGTCCTGGTTCCGCGCCGTTTCTGGTGGTTGGCTTGCTTATTAGTCATGGTGTTTTGAACCCCCTTTGAAAACTGATTTGCGCGTTTGGCTGCGAGGGGCCTCGTGGCAGTGTTAGACAACAGGCGCAATGCCACAGGCTAGCGTGGCCCATCTCCCTTGTCCTCCGATGTCGCCCCGTCTCCTCGAAGCCTTTCATCAGACTCGGCCTTCCCGTTTGCTGCTCCCCGCCCTTTTGGAGGAAGTTCACCTCGCCGCGCGCGTCTACCGCTCTTTCCGTATCCTCCCTCCCGAGGTCTTTCCCCGCCCCCAAGCCTAAGATCGACGCCGCGAAATCGGCGCAGCGGGGCCCCAGCTTCGCAGCGCCAGAGGCCGCCCCCCGCTCCAACGGAGGGTGGGGCGTCGTCGTCATCGTCGTCGTGCGCTTGCCTCCGCCTCCTCCTCCAGTCTCCTGGTCTCCAGCGGGGGGAACAAAGGTGCCGCTACCGCCGTGGCCAACAAACTCTCCAGAGGTGCGCTCTGTCCCGAATGTCAGGGCGAATCTGGCCGCGGCGACGAGGGAGGGGTGACGGCGTCAGTATTCCCACCATTCCTCCTTCACCGTGTCGCATTCCGCAAGGATTAGCAGGGAAGATAGCAACAACCTGCATCCTCGATCCTCCTCCGCCTCTTGCTCCGCCGCCTCTTCCTCCGCCCCCTCCTCCGCCCCCTCCCTCCCCTTTTCATTCCTTTCTTTTTTCTATTATGATTAATTGTCTCGTTATCATGTTTCTTATTATGTTCTTTTTTATCATTCAGATTATAGCTATTATTATGTTCATTATCAGTATTATTCGTTTTCTTATCCTCCTCGTCCTCGTCGTCGTCCTCCTCCTCTTCCTTATCCTCCTCCTCCTCGTCATTCTCCTCCTCCCTTCTCCTCCTCCTCCTCCTCCTCCTCCTCCTCCTCCTCCTCCCTCCTCCTCCTCGGCAACAGAGGGGGGCGGTGGGCGCAAGACAGGAAGACACTCGCGGACGACGTGAGCAAGACCATGGAGGGCCTCTTCAGCGAGCTCATCGAGTCTTCGCAGGCCCCGCCGCGGCTGCCGGGAGGGGCCGCGGGGGGAGGGCGGAGGAGGCCCGACCCTGCAGCCCCGGCGTGGCCATTTTTAAGCACCGGGCCATGTTTCAGGAGGGAAGAACACACAGGAGGAGGAGGAGGAGGAGGAGGAGGAGGAGGAGGAGGAGGAGGAGGAGGAGGAGGACACGATGAATCGTGGATTCCTAAGAAACTACGGGAACACATGGGTAGTGGGGGGAAGACCACGAGCCAAAAAAATATTGGAAGATGTGTGGGATATCCTGTGATTTGTGCGTGTATTTGTTTGCGTGTGTCCCAGGGCCCTTTCACATGTTCGCCCAGCCTCGGGGGCCTCCTCCTCCTCCTCCTCCTCCTCCTCCTCCTCCTCCTCCTCCCTCCTCCCTCCTCCCTCCTCCCCTCCTCCTCCTCCTCCTCCTCCTCCTCCTCCCTCCTCCTCCTCCTCTCCTCCTCCTCCCCCTCCTCCTCCTCCTCCTCCTCCTCCTCCTCCTCCTCCCTCCTCCCTCCTCCCTCCTCCCTCCTCCCTCCTCCCTCCTCCCTTCCTCCCTTCCTCCTTCCCTCTCCTTCCTCCCTTCCTCCTCCTCCTTCCTCCTCCTCCTCCTCCTCCTCCTCCCTCCTCCTCCTCCTCCTCCTCCTCCTCCTCCTCCTCCTCCTCCTCCTCCTCCTCCTCCTCCTCCTCCTCCTCCTCCTCCACCCTCCTCCTCCTCCCTCCTCCCTCCTCCTTCCTCCTCCTCCTCCCCTCCTCCTCCTCCTCCTCCTCCTCCTCCTCCTCCTCCTCCTCCTCCTCCTCCTCCTGGGGCGCTGTCGGTCGTGCTCGTCGGTTCCGCGGCGGTGTCCCAGCCTCGGGGGGGCCCTCTCCCGCGGGGGGCGCCCCGCGGTCCCCAGCCCAGGGGGCCCCCCCCTGGGCGCGCTCGAGGGCGCGAAGTTCCTCGCGCTCTCGCGCTCCTCGGTGCGGCCCCGAGGTCCTCCCCGGCCTCCCCTCCTCCCCTGTGAGAGCGGCGCTCGAGGGCGCGAAGGCATTCGCGCTCTCGCGCTCCTCGGTGCGGCGCTCGAGGGCGCGAAGCTTTGGGAGCCCCTGGAGCGCTGCAGTCTTTCCCACGGGGCGGCCTCGCCCGGCGTCGGCCCGCGGCCAGCACCGCTCGAGCCGGCCCGGTTCGAGTGCCGCAGGCCGAGAGGGGGTCCGACGAAGACGTCCATACGCCACCACCGTGCCCAGACCCCCTCGAGTAATGAAAAAATCATGACGGGAGGTTTTTCCTAGTTTTCGGCCTCCGGAGGCCCTCACCGGGCCTCGGGAGCGTCAAGAAACGACTCAGGATGCAAAGCCGGTCATGGGGAAAGGGTCGGGACCTCTGGGGGTCGACGTAATGAAAAAATCATTACGTCGGGGGTCTGGGTGCCAGGCCAGGGCCATCCTGGTCCCGGCCAGGAGGGTGGACAGACTCTCCTGGCCTCGGCCAGGAGGGCGTATGCACCATGCCGTGGCCAGGATGGCCCTGGCTTGGCGCGGTGGCGGTGTATAGATGCCTCCTGCGTATAGGGGGCGAAGGTCGGGTCGCAGTGGTCCGTGATGTTGCGGCTCAGTGGCGACGTCGGATCCCAGGGGAGAGAGCAGGTCGGCCACGCGCAGGGGGGAGGGGCATGGGGGAGGGGGGAAGGCTTCTTAGAAGGAGGCTATGTTCCTTGGAAGGCGCGGGCCTGGCGTGCAGATGCAGGGCCGGCGCCTTCCCGAAAAAGCAGCCCCCACTCGAAGAAGCCTGCCCCCCTCGCCCATGGCCCCCCCCGGTGCGCGCCGCCAGGCAGCGGGAGCGGAAGACCGGGGGGAGCGGGGGGGGGCGGGGGCAGCTGGGAGAGAAGGGGACTGGGCGGGGGACCCAGAGATCCAATGCACTGACAAAAATCAAGACGGAGGTTTTGCGCAGTTTTCGGCCTCTGGGGGCCCTCGCCGGGCCTCGGGACCGTCAAAAAACGACTCAGGATGAAAAACCGGCCCTGGGGAATGGGTCGAGACTTCCGGGGACCCCGTATTGAAAAAATCACGACGTCGGATCTCTGGGGACTGGGCGGGGGAGGTGAGATGTTTTTCTCCCTCGTTTCCCGTGCTTTTGGTTCCCCCTCCTCTTTCCTTCCGCCGCCCTCCCGCAGCCGTGCCCACACCATCTCCCTCCCATTCCTCCATCCACCCCACACTCCCCTCGTCCAGCACCGATGACTTGCGCTCCCTACTCGTATGCATCCTTCCTTCCCCCGCCTCTCCCTGCCTCCCTCCCCTCCCCTCCCCGCCGCCGCCTCCTCCCTCATCCCTCCCCATCCCACTTCACCCGCCTCCTCGCCCCACCCGTCTCTTCGCTCTCTCGCCCCATGTGCCCGGGCTGGCGCCGAGATCACCACCTGCATGCTGGCACGAAGACCTGAGACATCTGAGCGGTGCACCCAAATCGGGTGTTGCTAGAAGTGCCCCTGGCCCAAGGTGCCCCCCAGGATCTCCAAGGAGGCCCCCGCGGTCTCCAGAGGAGCACCCCTCCCGAGGCCCAGGGGGCCCCAGGGGCTCCAACATGGAGCGAAAAGCTGTGGGCACCTTGGGCCAGGGGCACCTTGAGCAGCCCCCGACAAGACGGGCCCGACTGCGCGGGCATGCGCGCGTCGGCTGCCCGCGCACGGTCACGCGGAGGCGGCCTCGTTTCCAGTGCGGCGTGGCGCGCGGGCGGCCCGTGCAAGCCACCGCGCAAGGTCGCCGCAACATCGTGCGCGAGGCCCGCTCCGTGTCGCACCCCTCCCGAGGCCCAGGGGGCCCCAGGGGCTCCAACATGGAGCGAAAAGCTGTGGGCACCTTGGGCCAGGGGCACCTTGAGCAGCCCCCGACAAGACGGGCCCGACTGCGCGGGCATGCGCGGTCGGAGGAGGAGGCACGGGAGGAGGAGGGGAGGGAGAGAGTGAGGCGTGGAAGGCGGGAGGAGGGAGAGGACCGCGCAAGGAGGCCGCAAGATCGTGCGCGAGGAGGCTCCGTGCGCGTCGGTCGCCTGGACGAGCGCCAGCGGCTCCCCCCTGACGTGGCGCGCAGCCGAGGACCCCATGCTCGACCTGTTCGAGGTCTTCTACAGGGACGAGGCGGCGCGTCGCCGGGCCCGCGGGCCCAGTCCCTCGCGCGCCCGCGGCGACGTCGTCGGCTCCGGGAGTCGAAGCGGGGGGTCGGAGGGTTTCCGAGGGGACGCGGAGGACGGGAGGGGGGGAGGGGGGAGGGGGGGGAGAGGAGCGGAGGGAGGGAGGGCCGAGGAAGCGCGAGCCTGGACTCCGAGGGCCCCCTGCCCCGGTTTTGTCGTCGCTCTTTCGGCCCACTCGAGGCCGGGCCCCTCGGCGGTGTTTTCGGCCTCCGGTGTTCTTGTTTCTTGTGCCGCCTCGCGGGGCTCCTCCTGGGCCCGCGGCGGGGCCGCGGCCGTGCGAGCGCCGTGCCACTCCCAGCTTTTCTTTGGGGGGGGTCCTTTCGACGCGCGCTCGCCTGGGCCTCCTCATCGGGGCCCCTCCTGGGCCCCACCAGGGCCGCCAGCAAGACACGCCGGGGCGGAAGAGCGGTCCTGGGCCGCGGCGTCGCCTCGCTGGGCCCGCGGCTCGGTCCCCCCGCCCTCGCCGTCCTCGCCGGCTCCTGGAGCCGAAGGAGAAGCCGAGATTGAGAACTAAGAGGAGGAAACGGAGGAGGAGGAGGAGGAGGAGGAGGAGGAGGAAGGAGGAGGAGGCGGAGGCGGAGGCGGAGGAGGGAGAGGAGCGGACGAGAGGAGGAAGTTGGAGAGGGAGTGGTGTGGGTATGGGGTGGTGGTGTTTGGAGTTGGAGTTTGGAGAGGAGGTGGAGTGGTGTTGTGGAGGTGTGGTGAGGGGGGTGGTAGAATGGTGTACAATGTGGTGGTAAAGGGGTGTGTGGGAGGAGGATTGGTTGTTGAAAGTGAGGTGGGTGACGAGAGGATGGGTGGTGGATTGGAGTAGGTGGAGAGAAGAAGAGCATTGCAGCGTAGCATTTTGATGTGGGCCGTCCATGGGCGTCACCAGTGTCGCCGCGCAGCGTGCGACAGCGGAGACGCTCGCGAACGGTCCACGCCAGCCCTTGCTCTCTCTCCGGGGGCCCGTCGTCGAAGGAGGCCCCGCGCCGTCCGACGGCGAGGAGTTCCGCCGCCGTCACCGCTTCATGATGGTCGAAGCCCCGCGCGGACGTCCTTGGATTGGTGCCAGGGCCCCCGCGCGCCAAGGAGGGGGCCTGGCGCCGATCCAGGAGTTTCGCCGAGGACCTCTGAGAGTTTGTGTTGGTGCAGCTGTTTCCTCCTCCTCCTCCTCCTTTCCTATGGAGGTTCTCATGCCTCGGGGATGCGCTCCAAGCGGCTACGCCGACCGCTCCAGCGGGGGGGGGGGAGAGGGGGGGGGGCTTGGGAGCTACCCCCCCCCCCCCTGGCCGCCCCGGAGGCTACCCTCCCCCCCCCCCCGCCCCCCTTGGAGCCGACTGCAGATCGGCCGCTGGAGACCCGAGTCATGACTCGAACGCCTCCCCTTCCTCCCTCTTGCTCTCTTCCCGGGCCTGGTTCTCGATGCGAGGTGGGATGATACTCTTGGCGCTGCGAGCTGGAGCGCCTGGCTCACACACGGGCCACACCAGCCGCACACATAATCAATTGTTTGCCCACGTCCCGCTTCATAGTCTGTGCGCGTCGATTCATTTACATGTGTGGCGCGCGCCGCGCACGTCGTCAACGTTCTGCCCACGCTCCGCCTCGTAGCGGCTGCGCACCGACTCGCTGGTGCCCGTGGTGCTTCCAATGGGCTCTCCACCGCCGGCCTCGGCTTCTCCTCAACTGAGCACCCCGTGCTGGCACTTCGGTTTCTGCGCCAGCATCCCACGGCAGGTTCTAGTATAGCGAAGCTGTCCAACGCGTTGGTCATCCGCCTCTCTTTCCGTTGCCCCTCCTTCCCGCCCTCCCTCCCCCCTCCTCTGTCTCTCCTCGCCCCGCCTTCCCTATACACTCTTCGCCCCTCCTCGCGCCGCCGTCCTCCCCCCTTCCTCTTCCTCCTCTCCTCCTCATCCTCCTCCTCCTCCGCTATCCTCTCCTCTCCTCCTCCTCCTCCTCTCCTCCCTCTTCCTTCTCCTCGTCTTCCTCTCTTCCTCCTCCTCTTCCTCCTCCTCCTCCTCCTCTTCCTCCTCCTCCTCCTCCTGTCTACCTCCTGCCCTCCGCTGCCTGTTGCTGCAGGCGACGCTGAAATCGCAGCTCCCGAACTCGCAGTTCACCTGCCCTTTGTTCGAGGACGCGTTCGGCCAAGACTGCGACACCAAGGAGACGCTTGTGGGCGAAACACCTATCCGTACGTGACCGTTGTTTACTCCTTGTCTTGCCGACCGGCGCGGCCCCTCGCGCCCTACCCTCCCCCCCCATGGAGTAGATCTTGGCTGCTTGCCTGGCGCCTGTTTCGAGCAGGTGGTGTCCCCCCCAGAGGACGCACGGCTCCAAGCAGCCGCACTAAGCAGAGGTCCGGAGCCAGACCCCCTCCCCTCCCCCCCTCCCCCTTTTCCGCCCCATGTCGAAACGCCGAAAAAAAACGCTCCCTACCCCGGCCCGCGACCTCGCGGGCCGGGCCCCTGGGCCGCGACCCCGCGGATGCGGGGCGTGTTTTCGCGGATGTCCCGCGAGGGACGCACCCGTGCGACCGAGGTACCCGCGGGACCGCGCCCCGGAGTCCAGACCGCGAGGGCGTGGATGTGGATGCGGCAGGTTCGCGCTGCGACCAGCGGCGACCCCGCCGCCAGCGCCGCGGGCGACCCAGAGTCGGCCCCTCGTCGAGCAGTCTGACGTTTCGGGAATGGCCGATCGTTCAAGGTTGAACGATCCTCGCGGTGTCAGGAGCCAACGCCGAAGTCGACCCGTAGAGCGAACCTGCCGTACAGCTGGAACTTGGGTCCAGAATCGCCGCAGTTTGGGAGGATGCCCTTACAGTCGGGCCGCCGAAGAAGGAGCCCTTTTCCGTTGGTGCGGGTCCCGGTGTTCCTCCATTGTTTTACAGTTTGTCCTGGGTGCTCTTTCCAGGTTTTCGATGGGCCATCGAAGCTCAACATATGGCAACGAGGGGCCTCGTTCCTCATTGAGGGTCAGGGGTGGACCTGAACGGTGCTTTGGGGATTTCGGGGGCCGTCTTCGTTTCGATGCCGTTTTGTGTAGACGAAAGGCGGAGTGAAGACGAAACGAGGGACAACGAAAGCACCACGAAAACGGCAAGCACCGTTTCGGCGCAGCCCTGTTGGGGGGGGGGTCTTGGGGCAGCGGCTCGGCTGTGCGTCCCTCGCGCCTGGGCCCTCGCCGCCGCGGAGCGGCCCTCGCCGGGCGCTTCTCCGCGGGGGGCCCCTGGGCTCGCGCGTCTGCACGTTCGCCTTACGCCGCCTCCCGGGCGGGTGGGGGGGGGGCATACTATCGGGGCGCCCGGGCTCGCGCGCCTGCACGTTCGCCTCCCGTCGCCTCCGGGCGGGGGGTAGGGGGGGGGTAGGGGCGGGGGGGGGGGGGCGGGGGCGATCTGGGCGTGTGTGTGAATCCCCCTACTTTCCTCCTATCTTGCTCATATCCATCGCCCCTCTTGGCTCGGATGACAGGTACTCGATACTTGGAGGTACGTTGGGTAAAACCATCGTCCCTCATCGTCTACCGACGGACACTCGGGGGTGGGGTCGGTCCATTGGTCCTCCTCACCCTCACACAGGTTATCAGCCTTCTCTTTTATATCCGACATCGCGTCCAACCTGCGCCCCGACCTGACGACATCGGACTAGTTATGCGAGATGACGGCACGACACCAGTCGTCCGTCCTCCCGCATGATGAGTCGTCGCCGTCAGTCGCGCGCAACTTGGATGCTGATATGTCCGATATTCTAGGAGCTTCCCCCAATTTTGCGGCCCGCATGGCCATCTCTCCAGGAACCGACGGATTGGACGAAGCTATGCCCCCACCCAGTGCAGCGCAGTCAATGCAGCGGGAAACCGCAGCAATGCCAGCGTTGCCCACCCAGGCGGCACTTCAGCTCCACGCTATGCAAGCTGAGTTGCAACAGCTTCGTGCCTTGCATGCTCATAGCGTTTCCGCACCCCCACTTCCTATTGGAGATCAGACCCCCCTACAGCAGCGATTCTTACACGCCGCTCCAGGGCTCACGCCTCAATTCCCCACCCTTCATACCACATCTGACGTCCCTCCCGCAGCACTGCACCAGTCAGCGCGGCGGGAAACCGCAGCCCCGCCACAAACAGCGCAGCGGGCCACCGCAGCACCGTCCCAGACAGTGCAGCGGGATACCGCAGCTCCACACATGCCTACACCTTCCTCCCCTCCGAGAGAGAGAGGCACAGGCACACGATGGTGGGGCCATGGGACGCCCGAACAAACAGGGATTGAACAGGGACAGGTTTATGAGCGAGTCCGTGAATTCGAAAACCGTACTTCTGACCATGGCCCTAGTCGCCGTGCTCATTCTAAGAGCCAAGCTCCCAGGTGTGGCCCCGAACAGTACATTATTCGAGACGATCGCGGCAGTAGGAGTCCATCTGTCCGGGGGGTTCGTATTAGGCCCCATAGTTCCCCAGCCGCAAACCGACATAGGGAGGCTCTGCCAATGCAAGACATGGCTGAGCTACGAGATCACGTGCACACATACGTTGAATATCAAACTAGCCTCGTCCACAAGGCTGTGGCCTCTGATACCGCCGTCCTCCGGAGTGACCTCCAACAGGGTCTTTCGATCCTGGACGCTGCCGTCCAAGAGGACCGTCGGATCATGCAACAGCTGATGCAGCGTCTCGATACACAACGAGATCGCGAGACTAACGAACTTGTGGCCGTCAAGTCCGACTTCGATCGACTTGAAGCTAGCGTCATTCAGATTCGTCAACACAACGATGAACGTGCACGCATTCTTCGCGAAGAGCTGCGAGAAGTCGCGGGCACAGCTTCAGGTGCCTTCGGAGCGCCTTCCACCGCACTACAAGGTCATATTGCCACGATCCGTGGTGAAACGGAAGCTGCAGCGCGTGAGCTGCACGATTATACACGCTCCGTTCAGCAAGATTTGTATGGCAAGTTATGTGAGGCCGAGAACGCTTTCCAAGCTCAACTCTCTTCCTGTCAGGTTCAACATGTACCACAGCTTCTATCCAGAGTCCACACTCTCGAGCAGACCGTAGCTGAGCTGCAGGTCGCACGGGCTCATACTGCGCAGGTGAGTCCCACTGCTACGGTGACCAACCCCGACGTGACGGCAGCTGTTCTACAGACCGTCCGAGCGGAGGTGGCCCACTTGCAAAGGCAGCTGCAGGATTCTGTGGCCGAGAGGGATGCCGAGTCAGCACGCGCGAATGCGCGCCTGGATCAAATGAACGCTGAGATGGCTCGTCTTGCTAACGAGAATGTTGACCTGCGTACTCTAATTGTCAATCTTACTACCCACAATAAGGATGACGTTCGATTCCTCACAGACACTCAGAAACATCAACACGCTGAATGGGAAGTATTGTCTGATTGTGTCGCAAAACTGCAAGCAGACAACACCACGCTTGAGCAAACAATACAAGATCACATCGCGGACGCAGCCAAACATACACCTGATACCGGCTATCGCCGCCCCTCCCCTGACGCCGCTGCTCGCGATGCGGGGGGTTCTACTGGGGCCGCTTCCAAGCCGACACTTCCTCAGGCAGGAACTGGTGCTGACGAGCAGCGGGGAACCGCAGCCCAGCCTTCTGCCCCTGAGACAGCTGCAGACAATGCTAGCTTTCGAACACACTCTCCCATTAATATAGGTACACTCGGCTCCAACGTTGCGCAATCCCCGTATAATGCTGGCGGGTCACTACTTCCTGCCACAGTCAAAGAAAGTGACCGTGTTCGGGTCCCAGGCTTCCCTAAGATCACAGGAGTCGCCGATTGGATGAACGGAGTCCGCAAGGGTTTCAGAAACGCCTCTGGACGCCCAGCTCAGGCGTACGCCTTCATCATGGTAGCGGAGAACCCTGAGATGACTTTTGAGGATCTCGCCGACAGCGGCGACTTCGAGAGCCTTGACTGTAAGTTAGCTGACGCTCTTCTCGAGATCCTCCCACATGAGTTAAGATTGCAAATGAAGCTGTTAGAGGACGTTGAACACAAAGCCAAGCGCATGCTTAAAGGACGTCAGGTATATCAGAAGATTATCCGTTCATTTGACGTCACCGTTGCCGAGGATCACCTTCACGACTTTGATCGCATTAAGAACCTACGCATGCACGGAGACGATCTCCAGCGTTTCATCGTCGAATGGGATCGATTACTATTGGCTCTTAACAAACTACCCGAGATGTACATCATGGAATCCCTCTTTCGTACTCAGGTTCAGAGACATCCTTGGATGAAAGAAGACATGAGCAAATACAACAAAGCCAGGGCTGGAGCCAAAGATGAGAACGGAGAGGAGATCAAGACATACAATTGGCTCCATCAAAGAGTTTACGACGTTCTTGATTTACACAAGCTACAGAAGAATCAATACAGCATGCAAAAAGAATCGCGGGACACCGTTGCCCCTGCCAAGACTAAGACCAAACAATCAAGCCGCAACTCACATTGCGTCCCTTTCTTCAAGGGCAAAGGGTGTCCCCGTCCAGATACATGTAAGTTTTTGCACACTGCTGAAAAGAAACCGCCGCCCAGACGCCACCCGTCGTCTCGTGATCCTCCCAGGAATCGCCAATCATCTCAACATCGTAGAGACGCTCGAGGCAGCGCCTCTGGCGCGGCTACTTCGAGGCCTCCAGCTGCCAGGTATTTTTGCTACGATTTCGCAAAGGGTAATATGTGTCAGCGCACTGGTTGCAACCGGCACCACGTGCATCCTTGCGTCTTCTATCAGAAGGGCAATTGCACCAACGGGGATACCTGCAAATTTGCCCACTATAAAAATGGCTTCAAGACGCCGCCTCGCAGCCCCAGCAGGCCCAGAAGCGAACAGAGGTTCCCCTCCCGAAGCCCAGGTGGTAGACGCTGGTCGCAGAGATCACGATCTTTCACCAGGAGTCCGGGGGGCAGGGCTTACTCCAGGAGTCCGGGGGGCAACCGTCGTTTCTCAACGAACACTCGACAGCCCTCCAAGAGCCCAGGTGGCACTCGCTGGTCCCAGAAGGACTCGCGATCGCCGTCTCGTTCGTCTCAGCGGCAAGGCCGATCACGTAGTCCAGGCGGTACAAGATGGTCTCAGAGAGATTCACGATCTGGCTCCCGTTCCAGTCGGACATCGCAGTCCAGTCAACGACAGCGCTCTCCCGCT